GGGAGCTTCAAACCAAAAATGATGGAATGCTCCGTTTGCGCGAGTCTTCGCGATTCGAGGCCTTCCCTGTATGGGACTGTCGGATCTGCAAGGTCTACTGAGTCTACGAGTCTACGTACTGGTGGTCCTGGAATGTCTAAGCTGGGGTTGCTGTTCACGCAAAGTCGGACATTCGAGCGTCTACTCGGTGGTTCATTGGGGTCTTGTGCTAGTCTATAACAGGCCACTTAGCTGAAAAATGCAGAGTTCTATGTGCTCTGGTCTTGCGGTGTCCCAGGCTCCTGGTGAGGCTTAGGCTTCACGGGTCAGCGAGCTTCTGTGCACAACGGTCGATGATGGTAGATGTCTTTGGGTTGCGATCAACGCCATTTCCGGATTGTTTGAACTCGCAAAGGTGAGGTTATCAGGATCATGCTCGGGCTTGATTTAAAGCTTGGGGTTCCGGGCTGCCTTTTCTCGTGCCTTAACCGGCCCTTCCACAAACAGAAGGAAGAGGTGGTGCCATGGACCGCTGGCGAGACCATGCAGGCCAGGGCTGAGACGCAAGCAGCATTCCCACATGCTCATGTGCTCTGTCTTCATGTTTGTCTTTCTGCTCGGCTTCGCTTCGGCCGGCTTTGGTTTTGGCTCGATCTGAGTAGTCTTGGGGTGGGCACGTATCTTCATACTAGTGCGCCTCACGCGTTCGACCTGTCAAGCATCGCACACGCCCGACAAATCCCAAGCCTGAACACCTGACCCTGCGGTAGACCATCGAATCGCCTAAACCCTGAAGATACGGGATTCTAGGTTTGTTTTCTGGGAAAGTGTGCAATGGGTCTTAAAAGGAATGCCGCCAGGTGGCGGAAGGAAAGTGCCCCACCGCTCATGCTCTGCACCACGCGTGGAGCAAGGTGCTCATGCACCTGCCCAGTGTCGCTGTCGTTTGGTGCCCTTCAATTCAAAGGGCGTCAAGCCTTTGCAAAGGCTTTCGGGCTAACGGTACCGCATTTTCGGTGGTCCAGGATTGGGGCACTTTGGGCTCAGTGTGGACTCCGAGGTGCAGGCTTGATAGGCTTGCAGGCACTGGGGTTCCTTTTCGGTTCGGGTTTCCAACCGCGGCTCTCGGTCTACCCTGGCCTTAGAACGCCCTTGCGACCCCCGCTTCCGACAAAACATATGGTTGAAAACCCTCTGCAACCCCAGGGCTCAGCTGCAAATAATAGGGCATGTTCGAGGGTCTGGCGAGGTTCAGGGATCTGGGCTCATTGGGGTTTAAGACTTCAGGGCTTCATAGGTGTCTTCATGCATAGACTGCTTGTCCTGGCATTATGGGCTAGTGGGGTTTCTGTAGCGGTGTTCAGGGTTTAGGGGTTTCAGGTCCGAGGTTCAGGGATTTCGCGTGAAGGGGCAGGGGTCCAAGACTTTAAACGTCCGAACGCCACAAACTCCATTATGCCATTGGCCCGATTTTTAAATTTTTACACCAACAAGCCCGAAATTGCCGACACCTACAGCTTACAAGCTCCGAATCTTTGCAATCGAGACCGACCAACCTTGACGTGACTGACCACAAGGCGGGTATGCCTAAAGCGCGCACTGCTTACGTAATCCCGACATTTGCAACCAGGAGCATGTATAGCCCCGACGCTCTTCGCCTTAAGACCACGGTCCCATTCAAAACAGAACGCCTTTTAGGGTTTCGACTTTTGCTGCCCTGGAGACTTCAGACCTCTGCGTTGAATGCGTCCAAATAGTCCAGCCCCGTCCTCTCTGCGCCTGCAAAGGCGGCTTCATTTGAGGGGTATGTTTTAGAAAGATGCCGCCGCAGTTTGTATGGGGCTCTCCAGGCTTTTGCAGGTGGTATGTATTGGATTTTGGATGATTCCCATTTCTGCACTTTACAAGGCTCTACAAAAGTGTTGCTATGAGTTTTGAAACGTTTCTGCAGTGACTTCGCTAGGGAGCTTTATGCAAGGTCTCCTTGTTTTGCAAGGCTCTTCTTTACGGTGTCCTCCGTTGGATTGAGGGTTTAAGGATTGGTGTCGGGGTTTGAAGGCTTTGGGCTGGGATTCTTCACGTGCAGGCATTGGTTTGTGGTGGCGCCGAAGCATGCTGCTTGGGTTTACAAGTCACGAAGTTTTTGCAGGGAAACGGGCGCTTGTGTAGGGATCGTGCATCCCGCAATCGACATATCATGTAAGTTGAGGACCCCAGCCAACGACAGGAATCGCTAGCCTGCCTGCTGGCCAGCTACTTCACACACATCGACCCCCTTCACGCCTTCGGCTCGTCCGTACCACTTTTTCAGGGACTTGAAGACGAGCCGACGGTCGCAAGAGAGCGGCTGGCCTTGGAAAGCTCAAGCATTTGGGGCTAAGCAGCTCCAGGAACTCCGAGGATCCGTTCCGAATGCAGGCTCTATGGGGTATTGCTGAGGATTGGGCTTGGCTCAGGGCTTCAAGAGTGCAACGGGAGCCAGAGGCTTCTACGGCTTCACGGCTCAAGAGGTTCGACTTGAAGCTTCAGCGCCAGCTCACACGGGGGGCCCAGGTATAGTCTAGTCACATCTTGAGCTTGGGGAGCTTCAGGCCATGGTCACAGAAGGGTTAGATGTACGATTCCCTAAGGCTCCTGCAAGTTGCGGTCTTTCACGTAAGAGTTCAACTGCATTCTCCATCACAGATCGGGGTCGCGCGCTCAATCCGCAGCGATGTGCACATCGTTCAGTTCAACTCAGTGTTAACGGTGCTTAGAGTTCAGGAACCCCTTGGGAAAGGCTGTGTATATTGTAGATCATGTGGGGGAGGGAGGGAAGGAGAGAGGGAGGGAGGGAGCTGAAAGCCAGGCCATCGATAGCTAAAACTCTTGAAATTAGCAGCATCATAATCTCTACCATCGCGCCCACTGCATCAACTCCAAGTATGTATGGCCGACTGTAGTTTTGGACATGATTGAACAAAATAAACGGACACGCGAATCTTGAAGAGCATCTTTAGTTACTATGTGTACGTCCATTTTCCTTCGTCAAAGACTTGCTGGAGGGGAAAAGAAGGGGGCCGGGGGCCTTGGTATAGATCCCCGAAAAGTCGATAACCTGTACATGAAGCCATACGAAACCTTTATGAAGCCTCATCAAAACCCTGTGCAATCTGCATTCAAACCCTTATGAAAGCCCATGCCGTACAAACCCCACTGAAAACCTTACCATAGACCGACTGGTTTTGCTGACCTTCTTACATTGACCGGCCTTCCTTTGAAGGTCCCCATAGACCCTCAACCCTAAACCCTGAACCCCATAAAGCAACCCTAAACCCCTAGGGCCGAGGCCAGTGTCAGGATGAATATGGTTGTTTGAGCAGCAAAAGCATTTGGCATCCTCCCGGAGAGTGCGGAAACTTTTCAGGAACTGACAAACCTCGAACACATCGCCGGGATCGGGGTCTTAGGTCTTGCAAGGGGCTTGAAAACGCTGCAAAATCGCCGGGGCTTTGAGGCTGTGGGCAACTTCCGGCACACATAGTTCTATTGAATTGCACAGTAGACCCCAAATACAACTGAGCACAAGCACACTTGCAACGCCCTCAAAGGATCCTGTGTCAAAAGCCCTTCGCAGTCCCAAACTCGACTGCGTGTCCTGCACCCGGAATTTCGCGAGTTGGCCCGGCAACTCCTCCGAGTTCGCAGAGCCGAGTGTCGTGCCCATGTCTGGGGTTCGGGTTTGCTTTAGTTCTCCGCAGGCTGAATCGAAGTTGACCAACTTGGAGGGTTGCTTCCTTGTAGGCGTTGATGAGACTATGCGCCCAATGCATGTTTGATTTGAGCACAGGAGGCCATTTCGGCATGGAGTCCGTGCGCCAGCCAACTTTATGTATTGGTCTTTCAGGCGAGTGGGAGGAGTTTATTCTGGACGCTTTCAATATGCTTGCTGCCTCCCTGTCAAACAACACAATTGTAACACTACCAGCTGCTTCTGCTACCGGCACCGTCGACGACGACTACGGCAAAGACGGCCGCGAATGCGACGACGACTACGACCTACTGCCGACTGCCGAGTCCTCCAGATCGCGCATGAGCGACAAACCTCGGAAGAGGAAAAGCTTCGCGATCATCGCAGCCGCGAAGCGACCCTGTACATTGTAGCAACGAGTCAGTGAGATTTAGGGCTGGAAATATCTAGCCACAGTCATTGAGATTGGCTTGCCTTGATTTTCAACTCCAGGGCTGGAAGCGGTCTGGGCTTAGATCGAGTTTTGTCTTTTGAGCTTGCAGGCTAAGGCGGCTCAGGGCTTAAGTCTTGCAGGGCCCAACAACAAGTTTCACGAAGGGCTGGTTCGTTGTATGGTTTTCCCTTGGAGCATTTGCATGGCGAGGTTCCGAATACGACGGATTTGGCACTGTGAGTGAATCCTCCACGGGGCTTGAAAGCTTGATCAGAAGAACTTCGACTCGCAAGCCTTTCAAAAATAAACAGGTCCAACGTCCCCCTTAGAAAGTCTCGGAAGGGCCTTCGAATTCTGGAGCAACAGCTTCGGGGTCGTACGTTTAAGTCTACAGGGCCGGAATCTTTCGAAACTTGGGCTGCTTGCGGCCACAGGGGGCCCACGTAGAAGACCAGAGGCAGGGCCGTTGCCGACACGGAGATCATGACGCCTTCAGGATGCGGGCAAAGGCAAAAAGGGGTCAACTACGACTATAAATACAGCTGTAGCCATGGAGGCGGGATAGCAAGACACACTAATCTTGACACATGCTGGCATGTTTGTCACAAAACAAGATGCAACAGTACTGACAGCGATTTGCCTGAGACTGGCATCACCACGCTGAGCCCCACTGCCGTTCGTTCCTGCGGTGGGGCTCAAAGTTGCTGAGCTGGGGCTTTCAACAAAACGGCTCCAGGCATGGTTGTCTCAATCAAGTGAGTGAAAAAGGTCGCATGCCACATCCGCTGGGTGCTCGTGAAATGTCTTGCGCTGGCGCGGCGACCTGATCCAAAGGCTTTCGTGCGAAAGTCCCATGTCCTGCCAGGTGACGCTGAAGAAACCGTAACCGACAGCAGTGAGGTGCCAGAAAACGGTTCCCATGACCTTGGGTGCCGGCTAGTGAATGCCGTGCAGCAAGTAAGCCCCCATTAAGGCCTTTGGCCCCTATGCCTATAAAGCATGAAAGTGTGCAGGCTTGAAAACTTAAGATAAAAGAGGCCAAGGAGCGAGCACCCCAGTAGCCTTCAGCGGCATGAACTGGATGCGATGCAGATTCTCCGGGTCTTTCAGGAACGTTGCCAGCTCTAATGTGCACCACAAACGACTAAAGTACCTGGGCGGTATTTGGTATTTGGTATTAGCGTGACTGCACCCTGCCCCGAAGGTGGGATAACAGCCGGTCAAGACAATCACTCTTCTCGCATGGCAAGACGATCACTCTTCTCGCAGGCTAGCCCTGACACGAGACCGGGCGGCCACAGCATCATGCCAGTCATGTGTGAGCCTTGCCTGGCAAGGCACAGCAATTTCAGCCCAACTGGCTGCTTCACGACAAGCACGCATGGCAGCATGAAAAGCAGGTTTCGCAGGGGTCGTAGCAGCGACCGCCGCCTGATCAGCACGATCATTGAGAGCGCGAGCCTGTCGAGTGGACACCAGCGGCACTCGAGAGGTCCATTCTTCGTGTCGGCCATGCGCCGGAACCCAATGCACCGAAGAGCCAGCAGCTTTGTGCCTCTCGCGGTCTGCGACTCTGTTCAAGGCGCGAAACTCATCGGGATCACAATCGAAAGGAGGAGTCCACTCGGGATGCCTGTCGTGCGCCGGGACCCACACAATCTCAGACGCAGGCGAAGTGAGAGCGATTTCCTTCCACAGACCGGGGGAACCAGCGGGCAGAGGCCCGCCCCGCCTCACCCGAACGGCGTTGCGCACGACCGACAAACAGTCGCAGAGCACGCAAACCGCGGTTTGCGTAGACTGAGCAGCCTGCAAAACCTTGAGAACCGCCCAAGCCTCAGCAGCGTGGCTGTGCTGATCAAGACCGGGAAGAACGAAAGACAAGAAGCGGTCATCCGAGGCACAAGACCAAGAGGCACGTCTTTGCCCCCCTAAAGCCCTTGACGAGCCATCGGTGGCAACCAAAACCTTGCGTGCGTTTGCGCTGCGCGCCTGACGTAGCAGACTGACAAGCTGCTCGCACACGTCGTGATCCGCNNCCTGCACGGAGGGCGCGGCGCACGCGGAAGACACTTGAGCAACCGACAGACTGAAGCCCGAAGACCGTCGATAAAGTACTTGGGCAAAACCGCAAACAAACTGCGCAAGTGTTTGTTTCTACGATACGTGCAGTCTACGACGAAAAATGTTGCTCAGCATGTCACACTCTTATTTAACTTGAAACAAGTGAATGTCGGAACCACAGCATCCAGCAATATATTGCATGTTGTGAAAATGGTCGGTCGACAGCGCAACACTTCTGCGATGGGTTCATAAAGCCTGGCCGTTGTCCTGACTTCATGGAAACCCTTGAGCCGCACCTTGTAAAGTTAGTTTGTTGCTGCCTGTGGGTTGCGCCTCAACAGCATCTGCTCTGTCGCACAACAACATGCATCAAAAACATCGTACTCCGTGGAAGATAAAGCCAATTATCAAACCTTTGTAATTCATTTCCCAACCCTAAACCCTAAAGCCTAAACCCTAGACTTCCCAGGGGAAATGAAGCAGCGAACGACCAAGTCCCATCTTCATCCAAGTTCTTGACCCTAATTCACAAACCCACCGTAGCGTAGGGGTCGAAAGTAGTACAATCCTCTCAGTCATAGTCCCTACGTAACTCTGCCACAAATGCACCTTACTGTAACACTCGATTATAAGTCTTACTGCAAGGCCCCTCTGATTCTTCGCCTCTCTCGCTCGTCCCCACCCTGTTGGATGCCGGAGAACCGAGGCGACCAAAGGACGAGAAGCCTCGACAGCTCGGACAGTGGGATTTTCGGCGGCTTTGGGAATCTGTGGTCTTTGGGACTTTGGGATCTGGGACATGGGCTTGGGGTTCGTGGGTCTAGGCTGTGGGGTTGTCTCTGCGGCATTTCAGGTTGTTCAAGATGGAATTCAGGGGTGCGCGCGGGCTTATGTGAGGTTTTTACAGGGTTTTGGGACTAGGGATTTCGGGGGCTCAGCAGTTGAGAGCTTGGGGATCTCAGGTGGCTCGAACTCAGTAGTTTTGTCGCGAGCCACGTGAAGCCGAAATTAGGGACGGGGGTCCCAAAAAGCCCCGCACTTCTGTCCTGAAGATCCTAGCACGTGGCTTGGATTTGCCCGTCAGCTCTCGGCACCCTAAACTGTACATGTGTGTATGTGTGTGCGCATATGTGTATATATATATATATGTATATATATATATATATGTATAGGTAGACAGATAGATAGAAAGAAAGATAGATTAGATAGACAGGTTAGATAGAGAATTTTTTATTTAGATATATTACAGTTATTTGTCTAAAGTAGCACCCAGAAGCAGTAAAGCGAGGAGAGTCCGAGAAGCCTTTCGGCGCTCAGCACGAAGCAGGCGAGGCCCAGAATTCCCTTCTGCTTTAGCCTTTCTGTCTTAGCGTCTAGGGTAGAGGGTTTAGGGGTTGGGGCTTAGGGTGCGCGCAGGGTTTTAGGCCTTGGTATTGGGGCGATCGGCTTGTGGCTTCAGGGCTTTGGGAACTTCGGGTTCAGGGCTTCCCAAAAACCACCTAGCCATGAATTGCAGAAGGTAAGATACTTCAAGATACAAATTTCCAAGACTTTGTCTTCACGTGCCTTGTGGAAGGGTTTTTGGAGGGCTTCAGGCTTGTGATGGGGAGAGGCGGGGCTGTTCCACGTGAGGGTTCGGGCTCTGCGCTAGGCCTGAGATGTACAAGAACCACCAAAGCCGGACCAAAGCCTGATTATAAAAGCACAAAGGCCCGGTAGACCCAATCTCTCGGGTTTCAGACTCCGTCTCAGGAGCCCAAGCACTGCAGTTGAATGTCTGGCTTAGGATTCAGCTGTTGTTATGGACCTGGAGTTTCGAGGGTCGGTTGAGGGATTCCAAACTCTTTCTCCGAGAGCATTGTCGGGAGCCAGCTGCAAGGGTGCAAATCAGTAGTACATTATAGTACATCATAGTACATAATAATATATTCTAGTACATTAATAGTACATTATAGTATATATGAGAAGATGTCGATCTGTCACGTAGCACGCTATCTATACATCATCCAACAAAAAGACGAGCATCACAAGCGGGGCCGGGCTTGAGCGTCTAAGGAAACGAGACCAAGAAAAGGGAAACCCAACGTATCATCCCTTTGCTGTTCATTTGACTGTGATGTCGTATATCCCTAAGGGTCCAAGTACCCAAATAGTAGGGTTTCAAGGTCCAAAAGCCATTCAGGGTATGGATTTTGGGACCTAACACCTTGCTATTTGGGTCCTCGGACCCTCTGGGTATTAGCATCACCATGACTCAGACAAATGCTCTGGAAGTTCGGGCGCCTGCTGGGGTACCCCATGAGAGTACGTCTTATCTAGCCATTTAAGACCTGCAAACCAACCTTACTGGTCTTCAAGTAGCAGAGTATATGATCTCTTATGTACTTGGTGGGACACCCCGAAGCTGCCATAGTACCCAAGTAAAGAGCCGCGCAGCTGCTCGTCGTGCTGGGCAATGCAAAGCTTGTCCAAAAACCTGGAGAGAAAATTCTGTGTGCACATGGAAGTTTCCGAATGTAACGGATGCCTTATTTTGAGGATCCCACTATTTAGGGTACTATGTTTCGGAAACCCCCTTTTGGGCTCCCATTAAGCACTGAGCGTTTGGGATCTAGGGTGATCGGCGGGATTCTCTGGGTTTTTGGGCACCCGAAGGGCTTCGTCCACGCATCGCATAACCTCCCAAAGAAACTCATGGCAACTTGGGTTCTCCTGTAGGCTTTTCAGGGGGATTAGGGTACCGAGCGACCTGAGACACCCGAAAAGAACAGACATGTCTAAACCCCAGTAGCGCAGTGCAGGAAGCAGCGAGAGCATTCACACATGAAATCCGGAATCCGAAACCTTAGACCTTGATACGCAAACGTGGACCCTGAATGCCGGGGGCCAGAATTTCAATGGTTCCCTGGCTGCGTGCCGCCAGCTCGAGCACAGCTGGAGCTAACACTGACCTCGAACCACAAACCCGGACCCCAAATGCGGAGCTTCAAACCAAAACTCCAAACCACAAACATCCCTTGAAGGTCTTAGAGGTAAGCCCGGGAGCACCATGCGCGGACGGCAGAAAGGTGCCTGAAGTCGCTGCCAAAACCTGGGGCCCGGCTGTTCAGGCCCGAACCCAACCAAACTCGCAACAACAACAGGGCCTAGGGTTGAGGGTTCAGGCTGTAGGGTTTTTGATTTTGGGTTTGGGGTTGAGGGGTTTTGGACTTATTCATAGGGTTTAGAGTTCACAGTTCTGGAAACCTATGCTTAGTAAGCACCGATAGCTAGAGATGCTAGAGCTTGTTTTGGGAAGCAGCGATCAATTTCACCGCAAACACCTACTTATGATCCGTCGGCTCTGAATCGGGATCTGGGATCAAGGCCCAGAGATCAGGCTTCAGGGTCTGACCCCTCATGTCTGGAAAGCCCTCAAAACACAAGAGTGAACAGAGATAGAGAAGTCTCGAAGTTCCATGATGGCTCCACATCCATATCTGCTTTTACTCAGGGATGAGCGGCTTGAAGTTTAGTGTTTTGGGGTGGTTGTCGTCATATACTCATATGCTACTACGTAGTTCTACAAAGCACAGATGCTGGGTTCTAGCATCCCACTCTTTTGCCGTATCTTGGCTCACTTGTGTACAGGCCCAAAACCCAAGGCGCAAAAGCACAAAACCCTGAACACGATAGATCCCAAACCCAAAGGCCCGGGGCAAGAGGCATTAAGACAAAGAGGAAGGCGAAGTTGCTCAAGAGGGATGTCCAGGGCTCCTGGGCGAGCGCTCTTGGGAGCGCACCGAGAACGTCGAAGTTCGAGTCTATGGGACTTGGGGTCTGTGCTTCTTGGGTTTGTAGGACAGCTCAGGGTTTAGAGCACACCTCAATCCCGGAACTTGACCCTAAACCCTAAACTGTGACATAAAACCTAAACCCTAAACCCTGAACTGTGACATAAACCCTAAACCCCAAACCCTAAACTGTGACATAAACCCTAAACCCCAAACCCTAAAACCCTAAACCCTAAACCCTAAACCCTTAAACCCTAAACCCTAAAACCCTAAACCCTAAGATCAAATTTGAACAGAGTCTCGTCTGGGAGGGCAG